CTCTGTGCCTTTGCTGAGGGGCGTGGCAGGGAAATAGTGCCAGCCAACTCTTTTGTCCCCAGAGAGGTGCCTCAGGGCCTCTCAGGGACACACTCCTGGAAAAGTGAGTCATCTCCCCTCTGTGTGCCCCAGGTTTTCCTCAGTTCATCGTTTCCCCACTGTCCTTGGGTTGCCTGCCTGCCTTCTCTGCTGGCGAAAGGCAGTGCCCTCCGGGCTCTATCTCAGCCAAGCCCACGGACCTCTAAAACTCCAGTCTTTGAGCCCTGCTGCTTGCAAGAACTCACAAAAATCAGCCCCTCTCATTTTCCCCGCCAATGGCTTTGGGGAAATGTTCTCCTTGTGTGCTCCCCTGTGTGCTCCTCGTCGTTCTCTCTTTCTTTCCTGCCTTTCTCTGAAACCACAGCTTCCTCTCCTCCACAGCACCAGTGATCTGCTTCTCCCCCAAACCATGTCTCTATACTTCCTACCTTCCATGATGTGGCTTCTTTTCTCCCTTTAGTTGGACAGTTTGTTGTCAGTCTTCAGGTCGATTTCTGGGGTATTTAGGACGATTTGATACTTATCTAGTTGATAACTATGTGTGAGGGGAGCCTAGGGTTTTCTTACTATGCTGACATCTTAGGTCTCTTCTCCAAAAACCCAGACTTTAAAAAGAGAAGGCCATAGGAAAGAGTGACTAAAAAAAAGAAGAGTTGCATCCAGTGACCCCTCAGACCAGTTTCAAAACAAAGAGAAGTCTGATAGAGCTGGGTTGTTCTAGACAGAAAAGCAGTTAATTAGCCTGGTGAGGGGAAGGTGATGTAAGTCAAGAACTTTTGGATTTTCACTTCACTTTGAGGTCCCTGTGCCTTTATCTAGGGAATGCATCGTAATGTAAGTTTCTTAAAAAGGAAGAAGGGTTATGAAAAAGAGGCTCTGGAAATATGTCTTTAGTTTATTTTATTATTTTATTTTTTAAAGATTTTATTTATTCATTTGAGATACAGAGAGAGAGAGAGAGAGCATGAGCAGGGGGAGAGGCAGAGGCAGAGGGAGAAGCAGGCTCCCCACTGAGTCAGGAGCCCGATGTGGGACCTGATCCCAGGACTCCGGGATCATGACCCAAGCTGAAGGCAGATGCTTAACCATCTGAGCCACCCAGGCACCCCATATGTCTTTATTTTAAAAGATTTTTAAAAAGTACTCCTTCTGTTGTTTTTCACAAATCACCAAATGTTTGCCTACTGAGTTATCTGGTGCAATTCTGACCTAAGTCCTTTGGGCGACTGCCCAGCAAGTGAATAGTCAAATATCATGGGGAAAACTATTGAATTTTAATTTTCCATGATTTTTCAAATGAGATTTTGACCTGATGTTTAAAAGTTCCATTATGACAGCTGTAACTATATTATATATATATATATATAATTTATAAAATATATTTTATGTTTTTAAAAAAGTGATTGAGACTTGGGGCGCCTGGGTGGCTCAGTCGTTAAGCATCTGCCTTCGGCTCGGTCATGATCCCAGGGTCCTGGGATCGAGCCCCGCATCGGGCTCCCTGCTCGGCGGGAAGCCTGCTTCTCCCTCTCCCTCTACCCCTGCTTGTGTTCCCTCTCTCACTGTGTCTCTCTCTGTCAAATAAATAAAATTTTTAAAAAAGTGATTGAGACTTAACAAATACTAAAGAAAAATGTAGAAATCGAATTCTTACTACAGCACTCTAACATAAAAACAACTCATTTCTTTGGGTTCTCCTCTGCGCTTTCTGGATTGGCCCAAAGCACCCCAGGCATCAGAACATAGACTTGGGGGAACAGGGTAGAGAAGACAACTTTTCAATCCACTTTTCACATAATCTGAATAATGTGCTCGGCATGGTTAGAAGCCAAATGCAGAGTATTTAAAAAGTTAGATAATGCCTGCCTTCAGGGAAGTTACATACCTCTAAAAAGGATACAAATGACGACATGAAAAATCAGAGGCCTGTGCTAGGGGGCGCTGTTGACGCGTCACCCTCTATGCGCGCCGCCTGCCTCCGAGCTTCCCCGAGCCGCAGTTGCGGTTCCCCACCTTGTAGCTTTGCCTCAAGGGCTTCTTGCGGCTCCTCCACCAGCTTTCCCTGAGCCACAGCAGCTTGCTGAACCTGTCTGCAGGGAAATTCCAGAAATGCCCGGGGTGTGGCACTGCCGGGGGCAAAGTTCAACCAATGAGAAATGGAAGCTTGCGGATAAAGACAGCAGCCTCCCCAGCCTTCAGGAGTCCAAGCAGGATCGGGCCCTGCTGCCTTCAGTGGTAACTCCCTCTTTACTCTGAATTGGCTTTGCTGGTCCTTGTCTTGCTTTATCCCCTCCTCCACGTGTGCTTCCTGAGAAGGGGTTCTAAGCAAACGGGACTGCAGGTGAGCACAGAGCTGGCGGGGAAGCCGCTACCGTCCGTGCGATCACCTGAGCATTGTGCGGAATGAGAAGACCTCGGGAGCTCAAGCTGGAACCTGGGGTCGTGAAACGGAGAAAGGGGAGCCACGATGATTTTAAAGTGTGACCAGTCACCTGGAAGCGAAGGAAAGCTTCAAACAGGCCTAGTGAGATCAACACTGAATGTGTCCTTGTTGAAAAAGCCAGCGAGCTACGAAAATACGCAAGAGGAATCTATGTTTCAAGAAGTCAGGGATTTGGTAGTAACTGGAAGGGGAGGGGAGAGAAGGGGGCTTCCCTTTCTTAATTTCAGTGCTGCTGAGCTGTGTATGTTAAGTTCCTGAAAAACATCAAGCTGTCTATCACATTGGCACTTTCTGAAGGTATGTTACCTATTAGTAAAAAGCGTAAAGAACCACAGGTAGGTCAGTTTAGGTGAATGGGCTGGAAACCAGTTGGCAGTAGGTTATAGAGCAGCTAGAAGGTGAAAAAGGAAAAACGGAATAACCTGAAGAAGCTTGACTTGATCCATTGTCTATTTTTGTCACAAACCATCCCAGAACTTAAGGGCTTATGACAGCAACTGTTCCATTTGCTTATAATTCTGTGGGCCAGCCATTTGGGCTGGGCTCAGCTGGATGGTCCTGCTGCTAGTTGCAGTGGCAGTTGGACTGGGTCAGGGTGATCTAGCATGGCCTCACACCCATGTGAGATAGTTGGTGCTGGCTGTCATCTGGTCCTTTCTCCTGGTCTCTCATCCTCACTTGGTGACAGCATTTAAGGAGGTTTAGAGTCGAGGCTGCAGTCTTCCTGGGGCATAGGTTTGAAAGTTGTACAATGTCATTGCTGCCATGTTCTGTTGGCCAAAGCAAGTCATAAGCCCCGCCCTGGTTTAACAGTAGGGAATGGTGGGGACTGTGGGGACCTAGCCAGCACATACCTCATCTTAAAGGGACAGCTGTTCAGGTCCAACAGGAATCGATGCTATGTGTCCCATTGTTCCTAGACATTCTGATTTTGCACAAAAGTCCAAAACCTAAAACATCATGTGAAATCTTTCAATTTTTATATTTAGCGACTAATTCACAATGTTAAACAACACTATATGGTCCAAATAAATATGCTTGTGAGCCTTGAACTTATAACCTCTGCCTCAGATGATAGCAAGATTTCGAATAATCGAGACCATCATTCTCCAAATAAAAGTGGAAGCAAATTTAAGAAATCCACACTCTCTCTTTGGCCTGTGGGGCATCGGTCTTTCACTTTTGGTTTATTTCTGTAGTGTAGGAGACCCAACACTGTCAGCATAATAGGAATTTGGAGAAAACCACCTTTCATTTCCTCCCCTTAGACACCTCTCTCTGCCCTCCCTCCAGCTTAGAACCTCCACTTGGAAATTACTATTATTATTTTTATTTTGTTTTTTTCAATTGAAGTATAGTTGACATACAGTATCCTATTACTTTCTGATATACATCATAGAATTCCACATTTTTACATTATAAAATGATCCCCAAGATAGTCTAGTTACCACCTGGAAATCACTATCATTTTATTGACTTCTGGAAGTGGGAAAGAAGTCCAGACCATGGGTGTGGGTGTGGGGTGTGTTGTCCTCTCTATTCAAGATGGTCTGGCTCACTTTCAGAGAGTAGAGGAAAGGCATCTGCTATAGCTTGATAGAAACACCTACTGTGCACATCTGCTTTTGTGCTTTTACCTATGTATCTCATTGGCATTCATGAGTGAGGCTTTATTACCACGTTTGAAGACCTCAGAGAGGATTATTTGCTGGCAGAGTCCCACTGCTGGCAAGTGGCAGGTGGAGATCTGGGGTGAGCTCTCTTGCATGCTGAAGCCCATGCTTTTCCCATTGGTATTTGATCAGTCCCATACCTGTACCTCATATACCTGGGGGTTGTATGTAAGCCCCTGGAGTCTTGAAGAGGTGGTAAAGGACAGTCTCAGGGCCATGACCATTCTGAAGTGTGAAGCTCTAGAGCTACTGAATGAGCTGAAACATGTAAAGAAGAGGTCCTGGCCAACAAAATCACTGATAATAGCTATTACTGTTATCGGTAGTAGTAATATGGTTGTTTCCCAGTTCCTACTCTGGTGTCCTCAAAGACTGACACTTACTCTATTTCACTCTCATCTTTGCTGTTTTCTCCAGCTTGGTAATTCCCACACTGGCACTCAAATGCCTATTTCAGGCACTTATTTTGAGAAGGGCAGTAACTTTGCACTCACAATTCACTAGAATGTGGGCAGCATGAAGGGCCCCCCGGTCTGACCTGTTCACTGATGCGCCCCAGCACCCCCCAATGGCCTTCTGAATATGTGCTTACTGGAAGCTGTCTCAGTTTTTTAAAAGAAATTTGCCGCCTCACTCTATCATCACACCTCACGGGGGACAGAGGTCTGGGAGTAGCAGAGGATGCTGAGACTCTGAGGCTGACCCTCCTGGGGGCCCACAACTGGGGTGTAGGGTGGGGTATCCACAGATACACAGTTCTGTCTCAAGGTCAGACATGCAGCACTCTGGCTTTCAAGACCCCGGTGCAGAATGAGGAATCTGGTTTTCAAATAAAGGGACGCTGCTGATTTCACGCTTTTAATTATTTAATTAATGAATATTTACATTTTAAAAAAGCAGTTAAGGAACCAGGCACAGAGAGCATTGATTGTGAGGCAGAGAATGGATACATGGATCATTTCCAATGCTTCACGGATGGAAAGTTCACAGGGAACTGAGTCTCCTGAGTTCACAGTTCTCATTCTGAATACAAACCCTTCAGCTATCCATCCTCATTTTTTTTTCTTTAACACTTTAGTTACAAACATTGTCAACCATGTATGCTTATGAGTGCTCAGCTGGGAGAAGCCTGCTTTAGCTGACAACATCTCTTCCAGAGCCAAAACCACGTGATTTTATTCCTGAAAGGACTCGACCTTGTTCTTAGAATAAATCCGTTGTAGAATGTTGGGCTCTGGGATAAGGAGACTTGAAAACCTTGTTAGGGAAGAGAACAGAACTCATCCAACTCTGTTTGGTTGAGGTACTCCGTCTGGACATTCTTTGCTTTCTCTAGAGGAAGGACCAGTAGGCTTTTCTTAAAAGATGGTGAATATTTTAGAATTTGCAGATCATTTGGTCACGAATGCATGTAAATGAATGGACATGGCTGTGTTTAAATAAAACTTTATTCACAAAAACAGGAGGCCCAGCCTTGGTGTGCCAAGTGCTGCAGTAGAGGTGAGGCTAGGAGTCTGAGTTCTGTCCAGAATATCAAAATATTCTGAACGGATGTTCATTGCCAGATATTTGTTTTATTGTGTCAGTGACGTGCTCCAACTGCAAAACTTCGGTATGAAGTTTTCGAGTGGTTTAGGAGACTATCAGCACCTTTGGCCCAGACTATTTTGTGTGAAGAATCCAAGTAGGTCTACATCAGGAGGGCATGATGTTCTATTTCTTTGTGTCAAGCAGAAGTAGGGTGACATTCACTTATGTGCATTTATTAAGAATAAATTGAACAATTATAGCAGCTTGGCAAAAGAGTAAGCAAGCCTGCATTTTGGATTGCCATCCCAGTCTCTGACTTTACAACTTCCAAATGATCAGCGTGACAAATTTTCATTTACCTTATGTTTGACTACGGTTTGTAAGTTAAAAATTTAAAATAGTATAAAGGAAAAATAACCTGTAAGAAATTAAGTCATAAGACATTCGGTTCCTTTAATGAATGCTTCCAGTCTCAAGTCAAAGTCAGCACTATCTCACATGTGAATTAGATGCCACTAGGGATCATTTTATAGTACCTGCCCACCCCCCTAAGAATAATGCGAATTCACTGACTTCTCGCCTGCAACTTTCTGAGAGCTGCTGCTGAATTCCTTTTCTAGTGCATTTCTAGATTCAAGAATTTCTCAAGGCCCATCCATTTTAAACCTCCAAACTGCCAGTAGTAATTGGCCTCAGAGGATCTTCCAGGGAAATAAAAATGTATTCCTGAGCACACTTAAAGTCCTTTAGCATTTGCTCATTTTATACAAGACAGAGTAGAGAGGGATGAGACATGAAGGATCCTCTTTGCCCCTGTTATAGAGGGTGACAGACCTCAGAAAACCCTCAAGTGCCATATCAGATCGGGGATGTTAACAAGACGATTACCTCTATTAAAAAATAATATTTTGTCAGTCACTTAAGAGGGTAAGGTGAACAGAAGATTTGTTGTAGAGGCCTCATTTTGGGTTTTTTTGTTGTTGTTTTTTGTTTGTTTTCAGAAACCCTTTCCTTGTCCTCTAAAATGGTTTACATAATCCGGAGGTGCTCTGTTTGGGGACCGAGGCTGAAGGAATAAGGGGTGAAGAGATGCAGGAGGAAGGGCAGGTTCTTCCTGAGTATACAAATCTGGTCTGCCCATAGGCTGGCATCTGCAGAAAGGCTTCTCCACCTGCTGTTTTCATCACTCGTGGTACATTACAATTTCCCAAGTTAGTACACAAGAGAGGAACTGCTCATGTTTTTGACTACCTAGAGATGAAGTTTTCTTCCAAAGGTGCTACTAAAAGAAAACTAGTATTTTGTTTTACCATATGCCTCTCAACTATCTAATGACAGCCTCTCCAAGCCTCTGTGTGATGCCTTAAGAGTTGAGAATTAAGAACATCCCAAGGAAGGGCGAGTCACCGAGTGGACACTTGATACAGAGCAAACGCCTGCACCAGATCTGCTATGTTGAGTACTGTCCAACGACTAAGCTTGGACAATCTGGATGGTTTGAGTGGCTATTCTACCTTCTACCATTTTGTATAATTACAGAATTCTTCCTTCTTGAAAATAAAAATGATTACAGAGATAATCAGATTATGGGGTACAGCATTTGGGGTCATTTCGGAAGATTGCAGTCGATTTAAAATGTGGGGCAGATTCATAACAGCTTTTCAAGGCTTTGAATCTTATGCATTTTCAAGTTGATACCAGATATTGCAATGTTAAAGATAAGTTATTTGAACTTCCATTATTAGGTGGTAGTGGTGTCAGAATGATGGCTAATTAGGCCATGCAGTACACCTCGTGTCCACACCCCATGTGACTTTTGCAGAAAGCCGCCCTACGGAAGCTGCTATTGCAGATAGGCAATTATTGCACAGAATCTTCCAGAAAATCCACCCAAGTAAAGCTGGTAGCCTCTCATCTTTGCAGAAGAATATCTTGCCTTTGAGAGGATGCAGTAGAAAGGAAACTGGGCCCAGAAACCAAGAGTAACATTTCTTGTCTGAGATTCTGTAAGTTTGGCATTTCATGAGCTCGCCCCTCCACCTCGTTTATTCACCCACCAAGCAGTTACTGAGCACCTCCACTGTGCCAGGCACTGTTCCAGGCTCAGAGGATATACTATGAACAAAACACAGCAAAGTTCCTGCCCCGTGGAGCTTACATTCAAGCAGGGGAGACAGATGAACCTTAAGTACATGATATCACGGTGTTCAAAACGGCTTAGAGGTATCCTGTCTGAAATCTGTTTACTGCCTCTCCTCACTTGTGGACAATGACCACGTCAAGGGAGAGGCCACGGATGAACCACAGCAATTTCACTGGTCCCGCCTCCACCATCTCTCAGCTGGGTGAACTCAAGTGAGTCCTTCAACCAACCTGGGCCTCAGTTTCTGAGGAGAGGCTGGATTAAGTGACTTGTTTTTTATGAGAAGGGGAGGACCTTTTAAGCTGTTCTTTTTCATGGTGTTAGGAGAGCATTTTGCACAAAATTAAAAGCCAGTGCATTGACTGTTCTACAGTTGAAAAACTATGTAAAAGTAAACCATAAGAAAGCCTTAGGTATTCCACGCCCACTCAACTCTCTAAATGCCAATCTAAACTTCAGAAATAGCAAATGTCTTACTTACAGCTGCTATAGAATGAAGTCACTACCATCTTCAGCCTTCCGAGAAATTCTTTATTCATAAAGCACAGTCCCACCTCATTTGTGAAATGTCCTCTAGCTGTGACATCCTCTCCTGAGTGTGACACTCTTTCCTACTCACCCAGATTATTGACTCTGTACTCCTGTTTAACCTCTTCCTGGCTCCATGAAAACAAGGATTGGGTCCTCGCTTTTTCTGAAGAACGACTCCAGTGAGATTCTGCCCCGATAATCCATACATGTGTGATCAATGCGCCTACAGCATGTTTTATGGGCACAGGCCTTTTGGGAACCCACATCAGCTCTTCAGGCTGTAAGAACAGTTCTGCTTAGTAACATTAGAGCTGGGGTGTACCAAAGGGACTACTACTATTCACAAAGGAAACATGGGTTTCCGGAACAATTCATAGACTGGGACAATGTGAATTAATGAAGATCCTAACCTCTTTGGAAGGCTGATTTGGAATGTTAAGGCATATTTAATAATACAAGTTAAGTAGCAAGTATTTTGCAATCAATTCTTCTTAAAGAAGGTAACATAGCTGACAGCTGAATGTCAAATAAGGTCAGGCTTTTACTTATTAATTTGGTAGGAGTTATGAAGCCTCCAGTTCTCTTGAAAGACAAATTGCATTCACTGGTTTGATTTTCAAATGGAGAAACTCAAATTTCAATCAACCCAGCAGCTAAGGGTGATAGGAAATTTTCCAGGACTATAAAGAATCTTTTCTTGTCTGGATCAGATCCCCACGGCCACCTTGGAGGCTTCTGAAGGCTGCGTGCTCTCAGTTTTATCAGCTGCTGTGTAATGAAATATCTTACACGTGTTTTCAAATTTGATCAGGTGGGCCCTACCAAAAGACCGTATCTTGTCATTGCCTTTGGAGGCAAAGTAAAATCTCTGCCTCAATAACCAAATTTAATTCCTTCCTATTGCTCTGTGGTGTTAAGATCTATAGTGTTGATGTTATCAGAAGCACCCAACTTGGGCTGCTGTGTACATAACATCCACCCTGTCCTTCCAGTCACTGGAAAGGGATAAGGACCACATCCACATCCTTGCTTGGGTGGACACTCCTACTGCAGGACCAGATGGGCAGGGGCATCTCGCTGCCACCCTGAAGCACCTGGGAGCAGCATCACAACATCTTCTAGGAATAAACAATGTCTCGAACCGTGTCTGTATGTACTACGAAGTGAGGGCAGGTCCGGCAGTCATCGGCTGCATTAATGAGGGTCAGAGAAAAATAAGGAGGGTCCGACAATTTCTGGCAACCTAGATCACAGGCACAGGTAAATTCTTGTTAGCAAAGGAAATGCATTTTGGTGTATACCATGGAATTTGTTGTTAAGCATATAGCTACCAATAAGAAGACAGTCCCTTTTTCACAAGGATAAGCAGGAGGAGTTAGAAAGCCCACCTGATGTTCAGTGGCCTTCTATCAGGACTGCAGCCCTGCCCAGCCAATCCAGAGGGTCCCTGGGATGGATCCCAGCATGCGTCAGGGCTGCCTGCAGCTGTGAGGATCTCCCTAAAGTCACTGTGTACAGTGTACTTTTCAAGGTGGGAGTCCTTGGAGCTGCAAACGAATATCACCCTTAAGTCCAAACCTCTGTGGGCACTATGGCTTCTTTGGTTCCAACGGAAGGCAGTAGGCTTTCTTCAGACAGGAAATAAAAGGGGAACTGCACTAAGAACCCACGGATCTTCTTCAGTTCTTCCTCAGCTCTAATGGGATCTTCCCTTGCTAAGATGGGCTTGGTTATAAAGTCTCTCAGTTGAGTTAAATTGTGTACTTCATCATTGGGAAGGCACCGGAACACCTGATTAAAACACAAATAGGAAGAAACTAGGTCATAAGTTTAAAAGAAAAGATACCTCCTTTACGGAAAATATGCATTCTGACAGACAAAATCTTTGCTAATTTTATGCCACAGCACAGACCCGATTGAAGAGTTGTTTCTCTTATTTGCTACCAGGAGATGACTAGATTTGCTTCCATCAAAAAAAAAAAAAAATCATAGATCCTTCTATCTGATCTACACGGGTCATCGACTTTAGGATAAAGTCAAGCTAGTGGTGTGGGAATTCCACTGATGTTAGTTAGTCCACATTCAGGTTAGGATTTTGGATTATAATTCCCCGAATTTCACTGGAGGTTCTGGTCTAAGAGGAAAATTGCAGATTATATTGCCTCTAACTTTTCATTTTCAAAAATGTTCATATCTGTACCTTTACTTAAAGGTATCAGTTGTACACTTATTTTGCTAATTGAAAATGAGCTCCCCATAGCAGAATACTTCCCTCCTAAATACGTCAGCATGTATTAAGAATACGGATGTGCCTATATAACCACGATAGCATTCTCACACCTCAGAAAATCACTTCCAAGTCATTTACGATAATGGTCCATATTCAGATTTATCCTATGTTCCCAAAATGTTTTTTATAGCTGCTATCCACCCTACCTCCAAGAGGATCCAAACAAGGCTGTGCACTTCATTACATTTTAAAAGCCTCCATGCATATGACCTATTTGGTCGTGGCCTTGAGTCCTCAGCATGAAATAAGGCTATGTCGACTGTCATGTTTCATTAGGAATGATGAATTCTCCAGCCTGGAAAGCACTCCAGCAGTCATGAAGAACACCAACACACTCTTACCCAATTTCTGATAGATGGTCAGCAGATCTCAGCTTGAAGATTTTCTTTGACAGAAAGCTGGCTACTTCATGAACTAACTTGTTCCCCTGTTGGACAACTCTTAACTCTGGTGCATTCTTTATCATAACCCATGGATAGAACTTACCAAAAGATACATTTGGCCTCCCTAACATATGGAGCTGGTTTTAAAACACCTTTCCAAAATTAGAGCTGCCCAATAAAGGACGTGTTTCATTATAATAAGTTCCATCATAAGGATGGATGCCATTTACTATGCTATGTGTTAAGTACATTTAAAAGGCTATTCTTTATTATCATAACTACCCCAGTGAATATTCCTCCCAGTTTATAAGCGAAGAGAGGAGGGCTCACAAAGTCAAATCACTACATACAAGTTCTATCACCAGCAACTGGGTGAGCTGGGTTGAACCCAGCCAGGTCTGACTCATTTTTGGATCTCATCTGCCTCTTTTCTCTTTGTCACTAGACACTTCCAAAGGCTAGGTAACCACCTTCTAAGGATGCTCATGATGGGACCCCAGAGTCAGATGAGAGATCAGAATGCCACTAATGGCTCTTCTAAACCATAATCCATGTTACTTTTTGACTCTGTTTTTTAATGTCTACAAAGAGGTATTTTATTACAACTTGGAAATGTACTGGTTTTTTACACTCATTAAGAATACTCTGTACCAATAATATGCAGTAATAATGATGTGCTTTTGTGATATGATTCAATTAAAAAAGGTGGGGGGTGATATGCAAACCTCACCTTATCATAAATTGTAGCATTTCGAGCTGCCGTTGCAACCCACACCTCCTTGAAGAATTTGTCACACACTGGATCCTGAATGTTTTCACTTGGGTCAGAAAGATAGCCAAGGACAACCCTGAAATACAAGTACCCTCCAAAATGAATAACTGAGATAAAGAAGTTCGTAGCAGGCATTGTTTCTAATGATAATGTACTTCATTATGTTACCATTCATGTAACCCAACCACAGAAGTTTTTTTTTTTTTAAGAAAATCAGAGGAAGCCATTAAAACTGTGTGTGTATAAAACCTCAGTTGCAAAACAAAACAAAACAAATCTAAGCTGTTATGATGTTTGAAAGTTTTGACTATTGGACAGACAGAAAGACCTGAATTTAGTTCCAAGAAAGTCCTGGCAATTTGGCCCAAGGGGGTGAGAACCTTGGAGGATGGGGTTACATTCAAACCATGGGCCAGGGGGCACCTGGGTGGCTCAGTCGGTTGGGCATCTGACTCTTGATTTTGGCTCAGGTCATGACCTCAGGGTCCTGGGATCAAGCCCTGTGTCACGCTCCATGCTCAGTGGAGAGTCCCCTTGGGGATTCTTTCTCGCCCTCTCCCTTTGCCTCTCCTTCTACTCTCTCTCTCAAATAAATCTTTAAACACACACACACACACACACACAAAACCCATGGGGCCAGCAAATGTGCTAAGTCCTTTCCAAGAACTGTCTCAGTAAATCCTCAACAATCTTATAAAGAAGCAACTATTATTATTTCCAGTTTACAAATAAGGGAACTAAGGCACAGAGAGAGTATAAGTAACTTGTTCAAGGTCATCCAGCTGGTAAGCTGCAGATCTGGGACTCCAGACCATCTCACTCCCAAACCTGTGCTCTCAACCAGGATGAAATATCCCTTTCTCCTCCCTCTCCCCCTATTTCTCTCCCTTTCTCCCTCCCTCTTAACTTCCCTCCCTCCCTTCCTTCTCTTGGGCCAAGAACTATGTCAAACTCTAGGGTACAGAAATGAATACAAAAGACATGGAGCTTCCCTGGGTAATTAAATTTGATGGGTAAGATCAACAATGAATAAATAATCATCCTCAAAAAGAATGAAGTATTGTGATAAATACTGGGTGTGCTTTAAAAGTATGAGATGAGAGTAGTCAGGGAGCCTTCCCCGGCCCTTGCTGTTTGCCTGACCCCACCTACCATCTTTCAGCATTCAGTGCAAGGCTTCCCCTTGATTCGCTCCCCCTTCTCCCATCTCCCATTTTTCTGTCTCAGTCCTCAGAGACTTGAACATTGCCCCCCCTCTGTACTTCATATATGCTTTGTTTTATCAGAACACCTATAATACTTCACTCACTTTTTGTTTTTAACAGGCTTATGTCCCACATCTAGCAGGTTAATTCTTCAAGAGAACATGACCTGGCTACTCTCATATCCCCAGAGTGCCTGGCAAAAACGAAGCCACATACTAGATGTTGTCTGACATGATCATATACAAACAGCAGACTGGAAACAACAAGAAATTCTTAAGCAAAGCAAGGTAAGTTTTAGAGGTCATATTAGAAAACGATACAAACCCTTATACTTATAGAAGGCTTTGGAGTTAAAAAAAAAAACATTTCAACCTCAATCCTGTGAGGTACATGGTACACGATTCCCATTTTGCAGATGGGAAGCTAAAATTTGGAGACATACTACTAACAAAGTTAGATTTCAAACGGAGTCTAAAGCCCTTTCTCACATGCCTGATAGGTTCAAAGAAGATCAAAAAGGCTTATGTTACATTGAAGGCAGAAGTGAGGAAACTGGTCTTAGTAGGACTTTGGCTTTTATGCTAAGTGAAACTGGGACATATTGCAGACACTGGAGCAGACGAGTGGTAGGAGCTGACTTACACAGGAAAATACGGCGACTGTATTGAGAACAGCGTGTGCGGGGCAAGGGCTGTAACAGGGAGACCACTCAGGAGCTCCTGCAGTAATGTGAGTGAGAGATGATGGCTTGGGCAGTGGAGGGGAAGGTGGAGCCAACAGGCTGTACTGACAGAGTAGGTGTACCATGTGAGAACAAGTGAGGCATCAAGGATGACAATGGGGGTTTGGGCGTGAACAACTAGAACAATATGGGTGCCACTGGCTGACACGGGGAATTCTGTTGGTAGAGCCAGTTTGTGGGAGAAGACCAGAAATTCAGTGTTGAACCTGTTGAGACTTTCATTAAACATTCACAGGGTAATGCAAAGTAGGCAGCTGGAGAGATGAATCTGGAGTTGAGGAGAGGGGGCCTGGCTGGAGTATAAATTTGAGAATTGTCAATATATCTATATCTATATCTATATATACATAAAGCCATGGAACTTTTAACTGGTGTGAGGACTGAGTTTAGACAGAGAAGAGGACCCAGTGTGCCTCAGTGGGAAAGAAGAAGAGGAATAGCCATCGGAGCGTGGAGAAAAGCAAGGTGTCATATCCTGGAACCACACAGAGTTCGCCAAGGAGAACTGTGTCAAATTCAGATGAGAAGGGACCACTGGATTCAACAGTGTGGAGGTCCTTCTATTGTTACCCTCTCTGTATTTAAATAATTGTGGATTGATGTCATCATTCTTAATGGTTGTAAAATTTCCCATCATGTGAAATTTCTTTAACCAAGTATTATGACCTCTTGGATGGTTTCTAGTTTTTCATCATTCTGAACAATTTTACAATGAACATAATTTATTCATCATGAATACTTTGTGAATTTACAGGACTCTTTCACCAGGAAAAACTTTAGAGTTAAAATTTACTTCAGGAAAGGCTGTTCCAACACAGACACGTAACCGTGCCTGTTCTCCCCAGTCATCCCCAACATGATTAATTCCTGAAAAAGCTCAGCCATTTTTACAAAGATAAAAGGACATCTCATTTTAGTTTTAGTCTGCACTTTTCCCACTACCTAAAAATTCTTTAAAATGAACGGATTTGACACCATGGGCTCACTTAGGATTTTTTAGAGTTTTATAACCTGAAAATTTTATTTCCACTTCAAATAATGTCTCCTTCAGACTACAGAAGACTAACTTTTAAAACGGATTTAAGGATGGTGTTTGCACACAGATGCTGGCTGCTCATTAAGACCTAATGCAGGGGCACCTGGGTGGCTCAGTTGTTAAGCGTCTGCCTTCGGCTCAGGTCATGATCCCAGGGACCTGGGATGGAGCCCTGAATCGGGCTCTCCGCTTGGCGGGAAGCCTGCTTCTCCCTCTCCCACTGTCTCTCTGTCAAATAAATAAATAAAATCTTAAAAAAAAAAAGACCTAATGCAAAATCTGCTGCAAATCTGAAGGACCATGCAAGTTATGACAATACATCAATTAAAACATTGCCTTTGATGGGGATCAGGTCTAACCAGCTGAAAACTTAGCAAAAAGAACACTTCTGTAATTTTGTTTTTAATTTAAAAACAAGAGGTGACACAATGTGTCCACCAAATTATAAGTTAAGAGCTTGTTTGTAGAAAAAGTATTTAAATAAATCTACCACAGGTAATTTTTAGTAATAAATTACTTTCCCTGTCAGTTTTCTCATGTTAAAATGCAGAGTAAGATGAAATTCTCTGGATATTTTTTTGGGGACTAAGGTTAGGGAAAACTCATCTGATTTAATGTAGGTGTGTATAATGGGAATTATTTAACGGTTCATTGTTTATGCATCAGTGGAACAGGAGGAAAACTGCAGAAAATAGTTCCTGGTCTTTCCATTCCTCATGTCTGTTGCTTAATATGATTCTGAGCTCTACTTGGGTGAATAATGGTTTCTGTTGAGTGATGGTTACATCTGTACGGGTTGGATAATTTTGCAGGACTTAATGAACTGTTCGGCATATAGTTGCGACATTCAGTGCAGTACCCTGATGTTGACTCTGTTTAGAATTGATTTCACATTGAAATGTGTCTATTTCTATTCAAAAATAACCCAGATGGAAAATGGATTGAAGCTGCATTTTTTTTTAGTGAGAAAATGGCTGTATCCTAGGCCCCGATATTATCTCTGAGAACATTTCCTAATAAAATCAACATGAGGTTTTTTTGGCGCTTTTTAATATATTAGCTGTGTTTGCCATTGGGGCAAAGTGAAAAATGATTGTTTGCCAACAAATGCCTCTTTAAAACAGTCTGAAAATTGTCAGTAAAATAAAAGCACCTAAGAATATGCTTAGCCTGAAATGTATAAGATCAGCATAAAAAAGTTAAAATAAAACTCTAACGATTCCTAAAGAGCAACAGCCCCATTAATGAAAACCCTAGAGCTTTATTAAAGAAAAATTCAAAACGAATTTGAATAAATTGAAGCCTATACTTTGTTCCTCAAGAGGATGACTCAACATTATAAATGTTAATTCTTTTTATATTAATCTACAAATCTGTAATTTCAACAATACCAACCAAAAAAATGAAGAGAACATGAATAAATAATTCTAAAGTTCATGTGGAAGAGTGAATGTTTAAGAGTAGCCAAGATTATTCTGCCAAAGAATATTGATTTGGGAAGTGGGGTGGCAAGAAGCAGTATTAAAGCACACAGCCACAATGATTAAAGCGGTGTCACACTGGGATGCAAGTAAGCAGATTATAATAGCACCTGATGGAGAGACTAGAGATGAGTAAGGATATATAGCAACGCGGTGTATCGTAAGAAGGCACTGCATGTTAGGCAAAGAGTATGCACATCATTCAGTTCTGGATCAACTGGTAGGCTGCGTGGGGGAGGGGGAATATTAGAGTCCCTATCTCATTTCTTACATTAAAATAAATTGCAGATGTTAAATGTAAAAAGCAGTATCAAATAAGTACTAGAAGAAAATACAGTATTTGATCTTGGGTTGGGTAAACTGTACTAGGCATGCAAGAAAAGGAGGCAAAAAACCTGGATAGATTTGATTAATAAGATTTTGAATTGCCCCCAAATACTCTAAATATGATTCAAAGGCAACTGACAAATCAGATTTGGAACCAGTGTGACAAAAGAATTAGCCTCGTAGATACTTAAATTACTTCTAAATCATTCAAAGAAAGGGAAACATTCCAACAAAATGGACAAAAGACATGAATAGGCCAGGTAATTTCTAAAAGAACAATTACAAGAACAATATGGCTAACGAACACATTTTTTTGAACCCTCAAAAATACAAATTAATGAAATTCCACTTGAAATCCAACAAATTGGCAAAGATTAAATAAAATAATAGAACTCAGTGTTGGTAAAGACAGGAGGAATAAGCCCCTGAGAGCATTACTAGCAAGACAGCAAGAAGTCAGAGGGTAAAGGAAGCAGCACACTTCCTTGGATTAGAAATTCCATAGTCAGGATTTAGCTAAGGAAACAAGAAGGGAAATAAGATGCTATCTACAAATATATCAACTTATTTATTTTAAAGATTTTATTTTTAAGTAATCTCCACAGCCAACATGGGGCTTGAACTCTCAACCCCAAGATCAAGAGTCCGCTCCACCAGCTGAGCCAGCCAGGCATCCCTACATCTACTTTTTTATATCCATGAAAAACCTGACTATCAGTGAGGTATTAGTTAAAGGAGTCACAGCATACTCACATGATGTAATACAATGCAGCCATTAAACGTTATAGAAGAATACTTAATGACACAAAACTATGTAACGTTATTTAAATAATAAAGAACTTCCTAGGACTGCAAGCTCCTAATTATGTTTTAAAAAAGAAATACAGTATAGTAATATATATGTACTGAACAAAGGGGAATGATAGCAAATGTTAAAGCTGCTAGCTCTGGGCAGTGGGATTACAGATGAACTTAATTTTCTTATTGCTTAACTGTATTTGCCAAATTTTCTACCACAAAAATAGGTTATAATCAGAACCACCTACACCTTTATCATTATTATACATTTAGAAAGTTATAAAGAACATCTCTGACTGTACTCTGTGTTTAAATGAAGATTACACAATGGGACTTAAAAATATGAAGGAGAATAAATGTGAAGAGGCCATAGAACCAGAACCAATGACCAGTGATAATTTCTTTGCCACTCCTGGCCTCCAGCAGTTGAAAAAAAAATGGTGCTGACAATATGGATTCTCCCTTGGCACCTACATTCTGCACTCCTGGTTTAGAAATTCCTTCTACAAAGAACAGTACAGCTTTGGGGTCCACAAATTATCCATTATCAAAAACAAATAGTTCATCAAATGATTTGGAAATGAAAGACTGTATGTACATCATTAGTTTTAAATTCAGACAGGTGTTTTGAGAGTTTTGCGGATCCCTCTTCTCCTGTAATTTCTTATGAGAATCTGTTGAGAACACCTAGACCTCCAGAAGTGACTACCATTCCAGAAGATATTCTCCAGATTTTATCAAAATACAACTCCAACCTAGCAACTCCAGTAGCAGTGAAAGCCGTGCCACCCAGCAAAGGGTTCCTCACTAAATACGAAGGACCGAACATCCAAGGTGTTGGCAACAAAGAAAATTGGTGAAGAAATTCTAATGGATCCACCCATTGTAGAAACTGAACAGAAAGATGAAAGCAGAGCTGGACTTACTTTGTTATTCACATTGCCCTACATCTTCCCCCTTTTTAAAAACCAACCCATATTAAAGATGAACATGGACACAGGTGTCATAATGTGTGTGTGTGTTTTTTTTTTTTTTTTTAAGTAGGCTCCATGCCCAGTGTGGGGCTTGAACTCACGACCCTGAGAACAAGAGCAGCCTGCTCTACTGACTGAGCCAGGCTGGCGCCCGTTATAATATGCTTTTTATTGAGATTGGATTTAGTTTGACCTCGATCTTACAGTTTTCAAATATCATTACTATTTCATTGATTTCACACTGACACTGCCTAATCTGACAGAATGGCTGAGTAATATTAGGAAGCAGGGTAAATAATTTAAAATTTTTAAATGTTACTCAGGCAAGGCCACCTGATCTTCTCATGGTGAGGTGGGATTGCTGTCGGCTGGAGCGGGGCTTCTCCCCTGATTCTGGCTCTGCCCTGGTCCTGTCTCTTCTCACAACTGTCCCAGAACCTTTCACACCATTTATTTCAGCAGTGCTTTTAAGACTGTTGTCTACAAATGGCAGCTTAAATAACTCGAGGAAAAGGGAGGAATCTGCAGGTCTGGGTAGCTGTACCGCAGAAGGTCTCAGGTGGAAACAGGGACTCACCTGTCAGGCTGTGGGTTTTTCTTGTTTTTACTCCCAGCTTTTTACTTTGTGTCAGTTTTATCCTCTCAGATCAGCTCTTTCCATCACATGGCTGCTGACCTCTCCAAGCGCCCTCTCCAGCTTGAGCACCCAGCAGACCCTGAGCCACCATCTGGAAGGTTCTGATGACTCTTCCTGGGCCCGGTGCCCTTCTATGGATTGTCACCTGAAAGCCCAGGAGGCAGGAGACCCTTAGCTCTTGAGCCTTCTGATAGCTTCAGGCTGCCCTGTCCATTGAGTCCAGGATTCTTCCCATTTAAGTGGGAAGTAGTTCTAAGTTCATGCAAGTATTGTTGGTGAACTCCAGATTATAGCCAAAGGGAAAATAAGGACCTAGCCTATTGCAGAGACCAATTAAAAATTTGCAAAGAAATAGTTTGCAAGTATCATGACAAGGCGCTTCAAAGGCTTTGGTTTGGGAAATTTGATGCAGTAAAGACTACCCTCTTGTGGGACACCTGGGTGGCTCAGTCGGTTAAGCGTCTGCCTTCAGCTCAGGTCATAATCCCAGGGTCCTGGGATCGAGCCCTGCATTGGGCTCCTTGCTCAGCAAGGAGCCTGCTTCTCCCTCTGCCTGCTGTTCCCCCTGCTTGTGCTCTAACAAATGAATAAATAAAATCTTTAAAAAAAGAAAAAGCTCACCACTTTAAAGAGAATACTTAAGTTCTCACGAAACCTAAAAGACTGGTTTACACAAAGAAATATTTGCTTCCTCATAGATGCTGCAGTAGGCAATCAGCAGGCTGATTAACAGGGTACTAATTTTAATCTCTTCCCTGCTAAACAAAACAAATTAACACTAGAAGCTAATTGAAATATCAATGGTTTGGGAAAAAAAAAAAGTCTTACTGGCAAAACAATTAGTAACGACGGCAATAAATACAGTCATAAGAACCGTGAGGAAGTACTGACAGTCAGATTTTGAGGGATGGATTTGCCGAGCTCCTGGGGCAGAGAGAGCAGAATGACTCCTCTCTGGAATGGAAGGAACTGAAGCTTATCTTGCTTCTCAAAAGCTGGAGACTGGGCGGCTAGATAGGAGGGAAATGGCGGCGAGCATTTGCAGGAAGCAGAGTACCCACGAGGCGCCTACCTGCCAGTGAACCTGAGTCCAAGCTCCACCATTCACACCAACAGGGTTAAAACAATGGCGCTGTGAAGCATTTTGTGCTGCTTCACCTTTCCCCAAATAGCTTAAAGCCTCATCAGGACCGACTGCTGCATCTCACTGTGGAGGCCACAGGGAAAACCCATCCCTGGTGGATGCAGCTCTAGAATCATGGACTGGGGGGCTCACTGCGAAGTCCGAGGCGTGGGAGAGTGCTCGGGGTGTTCCATGGACCATGAGCGAAGTGACAGGATCAGGGCTAGGTTCTAGAAGGATCACTCTGACCACCGAGACTAGATTACAGGGCCTGGGGTGAGGCCAGTTAGAGCCCAGCCCTGGAGAGTTCTCAGAAACATTAAGGGAATGAAGGACTCATTTAGGGCCCCTGAGCCCTTGCTGCCCCACCCAGTGTTCTCTCAGCTTGAGCACAGATCAGTGCAGAACTCACATCTTCTTGGAGAAGATCAAGAATCTTTTGTGTCTGGGGCTGAAGTTTCCAAACTTCACCATCAGCAGTCACTGGCACCCTCCTTTAATACCTTCTCTTACATCCCTGTATTATTGGGACTATTATAATTTAAAAAAATGGACTCACTTTTAAACACTTAAATAGGGGTGACTGGCTCAGTTGGTTAAGTGCCCAACTCTTGGTTTTGGCTCAGGTTGTGATCTTGGGGTGGTGGAATCGAGCCCCCAGTCAGGCTCCACACCCAGCATGGAGTCTGCTTGAGATTTTCTCTCCTGCTCCCTCTGCCCCTCCCCCAACTCACTCTCTCTCTAAAATAAAATCTTAAAAACAAAAACACAGACACTAGAGGGGTTGACTTGGCCTGGCCCTAAATCAATGAATAAATTTAAAATGCTATTTTTCTTGATTACACATAAAAATAATAAAAATGATTAAAATAGAAAATATGCCCCCTATAAAGTCATTTTGCACACTACTGGTGATTTGCATCCCATACTCTGGGAGACGCCATTTTAGACAAAGAAGAACCTAGGGATGACATGTGCGCTCAGGGTGGGAAACCACACAGTGAAACCACGTGAGAGGGACACAGCTCTGGGGGGCCCACCTGAAGCACTGCAGCCGAAGTCCCTGGGCGAAGCAGCCAGCCTGGTACTCTTCTCCATCCATCACTGAAGGGACCGTCTCTGTGTCCTGCACAATGACAGCCACTTCACTGTCACGCTTTCCCAGCATGCTTCGGTCGTTTATGTTGGCAGAGCCTGTAACAGGAAACAGCGATGTGGAACAATCTTCTCGGCAAAGCACTGTCAGTTGCCCACCCCGCTCAATTCTTCCTTGCTAAGAAAACCTTAATTTTGTTCAGCTTATCAACAGATGCTGAGTTTTGGGAAGGGGAGGCCCCCCCCAACCCAGGCATGCGTCTTGAGCAGTCTAAGCCAGCTATGGTAATTTTGTGACCTTTACCCATGACTGGCTTAGGAATGGGCACTTGACATCATTGTAGCCAGTGTGACATGAAGAAAAGTCTGCTGGAGGCTTCTGAAAAAGTCTATCTCCTTAATAACAGACACCAGACTGGGATGCTGTCTCTTCCAGCCTTTTGATGTTTTGGTTTGGATGTTGGATGAGGCCATGATTCCAGGAGCTGCTGCAGCCATTTTGTAACCACTAGGGGACAAGCAGACCAGTTGAAGACAGCAGAGCAGAAAAAAGAAAGACCCTAGGTCTTCAAGTCATTGATCTTGCCAACTTTCTTACCTGCTGGTATGTGAAATAATACATTTTCCTTATTGTTTCACATACTTTTAGCTGAATTTTCCATCTGGTGGCTCAAAGGATTCTAACTGAGATAATCATTAAGCACACAAAGAAAAAAGACACACCGATTCAATTTGGTCAGCTTTTAGACTTACTCTGCGGAATCTGATGACTTAACTCATGGCCATATAATTATGAATGTCAAAACCCAGAGTAGCTTCACAATCAAGAGTCCACTCTCAAATACGGATTAGCATTAGTGGCTCTGGTTTTTACATTCTCTTGCCTCACTTGTGTGGCATGCCAACAGCTTCTGTATCAACTTCCTTCCATTCTATTTTTAAAATCCAAACAAGCTGAGAATGTGGACTTTCACATGTGAAGGGCAAGTATTTTAATATTAGTTCAACCTGTGTTTTCTCCACTCCTCTGCTGTGTATTCAGAAACCTCAGCACGTTTTTCTGCATTCATTTTTTTTTTTTTGAATTCATGCTTTTGGATTCATGCCTTTGAATCCTTGAGGTATCCTACAAACTACAGAAGGAACCTGGCTCTTTTTTCTTCCTCTTCCCCTAGTCACACATTCCACTGCTTCGGCAGAAGGGTTGGACTGGACAGGAGCAAGAGGTGACCCTCTGGGATGGAGACAGTCAGGGTGTAAGGTTATAGTACAGCCCTGCCCTGAACCCAAATGGCAGCATGTTGTACATGAGAAAAATGCAAATCTATGCTAACTGTGGATGTGAGTGGTGCCCCATAGTGGCCCTGGGTAAAAGAGAAAGGATGGAGCACCTCCCAGAAATTTGGGAGCACTACCGGAGCTCTTTGTAAGGTGGGAACGATTGACACACTTTGTTTCGTTAGCAACAAATTGTCCTTTACACATGCGCTTACATTTTGATGATGCTATAAAATTTGCAGCCATATCTTTGGGCTTCACAGTTGGCCCAGCATTCATTTGGACAAAGTCATTTTATCTTTCTCACCTTTAATTTGATCTTTTATAAATTGAGATCATAATATAGATATTTTTCTTTTAAAGAAGTTTTGTTTTTTTTTTTTAAAGATTTTTCTTATTTGACAGAGGAAGAAAGAGAGACTGCACACAAGCAGGGGGAGTGGCAGATGCAGACTCCCCACTGAGCAGGGAGCCCAACATGGGGCCCGATCCCAGGACCCTGGGATCATGAGCTGAAGGCAGATGCTTAACCAACGGAGCCACCCAGGCACCCCCACAATATAGATCTTATATTTCACATGATCTTGTGAGAAGATCATGTGAAAGAACTTACTAATTTATAAACTGCTCTACAGTGTTAAATATTATTGGCATTACTATCAGATACTCTGTTAAGGCTACAACATCTAGAGGACACTGCCATAGGAAGGGGCAATTTACTGGCACGTAGCATTTGTATGAGACTAGCCTCCTCTCTGGGTTCATCACAACCCCCCTCTCCCCATCCTGCCAGGTGTGTGAGCCAGAAGGAGGAAAGGAACAGAGTGCTCACAGTGCTACTGCAGATGTGCACTACCTCGGGGCCGCCAGAGGCTTCTCTTGGGCTGGGGGCTGCTGGGCTCGGTGGACATTGCTGCTCTTCACTGTCAGGAAAACTGGGGATGTGAGGTCCCCAGGAAAGTCTCCTCCACACGTGCACACACACACACACACACACACACACACACATTCACACCCCTCCCTCAGTCTCCCTCCTCCCACCACGGTGGGCTCCACAGCCCAAAGGAAGGAATACATTCCTGGCATTCTGGGCTGGAGTTCTTAGAGAGAGTGTGGTCCTTGTACATCAGCAGCCCATCTGGAGTTACCCAGAGCACTGAATCTCAACCGTGTAGGATAAGTGAGTTGGCTACTATTTAACAGGAATGAGAAGAAAAGGATGAGGGGATTTTAGATGGACTTAATAAATGAGAAGCTGAAAATGAGATATTGGTGTAATGTTATCTCCATTGTTATTGTTAAACGGTCCCATATTCTGAAAATCAAATTCAGAACAGCAGATATATTATTATCCTGTTTCTATATAACATATGAGGAAAAAGAGAAAGGGCTCTAGAAAGATTCACACTGAACTGTTAAGAGTGGTGGGTTCTTTCTAGCAAAGAGGGATTTTTGACCTTTTATTCAGTATGTGTCCTTAGAGTTTGAATTGTTTGCAACAAATATGCTTTGCATTCCATGTGTTACATTTTATGGTAACTGCAATCCCTTGTTTTTGTTAGGACATTGCCCCAATAATTTAAAACCACTTAATTTTGGGGGCATCTGGGTGGCTCAGTCGTTAAGCGACTGCCTTCCGCTCAGGTCGTGATCCCAGGGTCCTGGGATGGAGCCCCGCATCGGGCTCCCTGCTCAGCAGGAGGTCTGCTTCTCCCTCTCTAATAAGTAAGTAAGATCTTTTAAAAAAAGAAATAAAACCACTTAATTTTTAGATTTTCTGTCTGCTTTTAGGGAACATTTTAAACATTGAGAGATATAGCAAAATACAAAAGAATATATGAAAACATATATGTACAATTTAGTCAATAATAAAATAAATATCACTGAATTTATTCACCCAGGCTGAAAAACAGAACATTACCACATCTCAGAAACCCTCAGGTGTCTTCCCATGCAGGCCTTTCCCCATCACAAGAGAGATTTTATATAGAATTTTGTGTTCATCATGCTCTGCATGTTTTCCTAGTCAAAGAAATAGTTCACTTTTGACTTGTCTTTAAATTGCATAAATGGACCCATCTAGTAGATAATCTTTTGAGATTTGCTTCTTTCATTCAATATTGTATCTTCGGGATTTATGTGTGTCTGATCATAACGCATTATTTTCCTCAAATGAGCACAGCAAGACTTATTCATTCTAAATCTGTTGGTGGATGTTTGGGTTGTTTCTAGTGTTTTCTATGATGCACACTTATGCTCTCCATATGTTTCCTGGTGTGCACATGTGGGACTCTGCCTGGGCTCTGTCCTAGGAGTGGAGTTCCGGGTGCTCCATGGCCTCATCAATACCTGGATTGTCCAACTTTTACATTTTTGCCAATTGGTATTTTTAAACACTGTTGTCTCATTAGATTAATGAGGATGAATATCTTTCAAATGTTTATGGGCCTCAGGTATGTCCTCTTTGGTGACGTTCCTATACAATTCCTTTGCCCCTTTTCCTTTGGATGTTGTCTTTGTTTCTTGGTATACAGTAGTTTTTTATAGGTTTTGAATATTTAAGTGTGTTGCAAATATCCTGTTTTCAGTTTATGGTTTATCTTTTTATTCTCTTTATAGTGCTTTTTAATGAATAGGTTCTGAATTTCAAGGCAGTCAGATTTATCTGTCTTTTCCTTTTTGGTTTGTGTTTTTAAAAAAGTTTCAGAAAATGTGAATCTTTCTGGGTTAGGCAGAATAATGGCCCCCAAAGATGACCATGTTCTAATCCCCAAAGCCTGTGAATATGTTATGTTACACGACAAAGGGGAATGAAGGTTGCTAACCAGCTGGCCTTAAAACAGGGCGATTGGCCTGGATCCAGGTGAGCCAAATACAATCACAAGAGTCTTTAAAAGTGAAGGGGATTCAGAGGGAGATGTGGTTACAGAAGTATGGTTGAGACTTTTGGGAACCTTCAGAGAGATGTCACATTGCTGCTTTCAAAGATGGGGGAAGAGGGCCCTGAGTCAAGGACTGCTGACAGACTCTAGCGCTGGAAAAGGCAAGGAACTGGATTCTCTCTGGAAGCCTATAAGGAAGGAACGTGGTCCTGCTGACCCCCTGATTTTAGCCCAGGGAGACCCACGTTGGATTTCTAACCTACAGAACTGCTGGATAATAAATTTGTGCTGGTTTAAGCCACAGAGTTCATGGCCGTTTGTCATAGCAGGTACAGACAACGAACACACCAACTCTACTCTGCTTCAGCTTAGTTGTTTTTAAGGAAAATGGACTCTTCTATTAAGCCCAGATGGACTACTTAGTACTTTCTACCCACTGGTGTTCCCTGTTCCTCCAGTTCAGAAGTTCTCAGCTCAGACTGCATGTGAGCAGCACCCAGGAGGCTCTTTAAAAAAATTCTGGTGCCAAAAACAAAAATAAAAACACCTTGATGCCTGGGCCCCAAACTGGACCAATTAGTCAGAATCTCTGGAAGTAGGAGCCAGACATTAGTATTTTTCCCCCAGTACCACTCCATCCCTTTATCCATTAATGCATCTTTTATGGGGGATCTATTTTTTTTAATATTTCTTTTATTTGCAAAAGAGAGCCTGTGCGTGAGGAGGGGGGAGTGGCAGAGGGAGAGTGAAAGAGAATCTCAAGCCGACTCCCTGCTGAGTGGGGAGCTCGACTTGGAGCTTGATCCCAGGATCCTGAGACCATGACCTGAGCCCATGACCTGAGCCAAAATCAAGAGTCAGATGCTTGAGATTGAGCCCAGCCAGGCGCCTCCTGGGGGGATCTATTTTAAAGTAAATTGCAGACTTGAATAAACCTCCCCCTAAATGATATATATATATTTAAAGCTCCCCAGGCAACTCAAATGTAGCCAGGGTTGAGACCCATGGGATTAGGTCAAGGGTAAGCCCTTTCTCCTGGGGCAGCCCTTCAACTACAGACTTTGATCAGCCACTCCCAAGCCTGTCCTTTAAGCACTGATACTCATTTCCTCTACATAGCTTCCTACCTATCAGTCTCATTGATTGCCTCTGGACCTTCTTACCCTGCCCAGCAATACCCACCCGATGTTTCTGGTGTTAAATGGAAAGAATACCTGCCTTCCCTGTAGCCCTTGAGTTCTGTAGGACAGAGGCACTGTTTGATTCAATTTTCATATTCTCCCCTTTGTGCTTTTTAGTGGATTAGTGAACACTGAAAAAAACTGTTTCGCTTTGTCAATAGGATAGGCTCAAAGTCTATTTAAGGATAGCCTTATTTTGTTTAGGAAAGCAAACAAAATGTTAGTTTGGTTAAGTGCCAATATTTAGATGGAATAGAAAAGTGGACTTAGTCACAGATTTCAGGACCAGCAGGGGCACTCAGGGCAAGGGATAATTAAAGCTCCACACAAAAGAGATCTTTAGTGTGAGAAAGCAGGTATTTCCTTGTGAGGAGAAAGGGAGAATAAACAATTAGTTGTTTTTCTTCTGTTAATTATTCAATAATTCTGGCATATATTTGCCATGTTAGAAAATTTAACCACAGGTTACTTTAACCTCTTTGAACAGCTGTAAAATATTTTCAACCTAACTTCTCAAACTCCTCTCTGAGAATATGAAATATTGTTCTTGGTGTTATGAATTTAAGCAGGGCTGATGTGTGAGAGCAGCAACAAACCTGCTTCTCTTAGAGTTTCCCCTGAGATACAAAAAACAAAAGGAAATCTGTTTTGTCCATGGGGAAGGAGAAAAAGAAATCCAGCCCCTAAAGACCAGCAAGTAAAACCTCTTCATATTCTCCAGGCCACTTCTTTGGTTTCAAGAAAATGGATAAGAATTATGTAACAAGATTAATCAATTATTGCTAGCCTAAACAAATTGTAGCCTTTGTGAGTTCAGAGAACTTTCTAGAAAATAAGTCAATTTAAAAACTCAACTTATTTAATCTTTAGCTCTGTTACTGCAAACTGCTTTGCATTTATACTTAAAGTAAAGCCCAAATGACCTTTAAAAGGAAAATATTTACATCTGTCAATATTTACTTCAAGATTCTGAAATCTTGCTGAAGAAATCAACTGAATTTTATTTGGCTTTGTTTGTTTTTCCATTTCAGCAAACATCAATATTTTTCCTTTCCTACTGTCATTGCCAAACTTAATACGAAAATTTTCTGAGATTGGCTTCTGGAGAGCAAGGCCAGGGTAGGTTGGGGGAAATCAGAGAAACTTTGTTTACTGGGGGAATAGGAGAGTAAATAAATCCCTAAAGAACTTTGACCTCTATAGAGCAAGAGATAGAAGACTCAGATACTTTTCTAAATGCCCTATGTAAGTATTGAGAGAGAGAGAGAGAGTGTGTGTGTGCGTGCGTGTGCGTGCATGTGTATGTGTGTACATGTGCGTATGTGTGTGAGTGCACGTATGTGTGCATGGTAGGTGTGTGCGTGTTGCGTGTGTGTATACGTGTGTGTGTGTGTACGTGTGCACGCATATATATGTATCACCACACTGTGGCCTATACATTTTCTGGCTTCAGAATTGCTTTTTCTTTCTTTTCAAATCATGTTCCAGATAAGACAATCTCATTACTCCTCGATATGAGATTTTTTTTCCTTTGCTCAGTGGAAGATAGAGATGGAAACGGTGTATTTACTGCCAAAAAATTTCAAAACACTCTACAACATTTAGTTTCTCATAGAATAGGGAAGATAAGGAAGTATCTAATTATAGTTGAGAAACTACACTTTATTTTTTCTGGGAATTTATTTTTTTAAGTTTCTATTTAAATTCCAGTTAGTTAACATGCAGTGTAATATTAGTTTCAGGGGTACAATATAGTGATTCCACACTTCCAGATAACACCCAGTGCTCATCACAACAGGGGCCCTGTTTCATTCACCCCCCCACCCACCTTGTTCCCTGTGGGTAAGCGTCTGTTTCTTGGTCTCTCTCTCTCTCTCTCTCTCTCTCCCCTTTGCTTGTTTTGTTTCTTAAATTCCACATACGAATGAAATCATGTGGTATTTGTCTTTCTCTGACTGACTTATTTCACTTAGCGTAATACACTCTAGCTCCATCCATGACATTGCAAATGGCAAGACTTCATTCTTTTTTATAGCTGAGTAATATTCCATTGTGTATATACACAATCTTATCAATTCATCAGACAATGGACACTTGGGCTGCTCATTTTCTCCCCCCATGTCTCCCCCTCCAGCCCCCGAAACCTAGGTACTTCAATTTAAAAAAAGGGGGGTAATAAAGAATTAACGAGAACAGGCTGATTACTGCTCTGCTGGGATAAAACATGCCTCTCTGGCTACTGTAATTTGCACAGTGGCCATTTAATTGCTCTGTGCCTCTGTTTCTTCACAGATAAAACCAGGGATTAGAAAGGACGTAAGTGGACAAGACTGCTTCAGAAATGTTTTAGATGTCACATTATGGTCCCTCTCAACTGTAAAGGAATCTTGGGAGGAAGAGAAAGAAGGATTTTTGCATGAAGTACATCAACTAGCAAGCAACCCAATTCTAGACTATGGACTTACCGATAATAACAGTGTTGTCATCAGCAATTAGCAACTTGCTGTGGACATAGATGAGCTCAGTGACTAGGTTTCCTTCAAGCTCTGCATGTGTTCTAAGGCCACAGAATGAGATGTAATTTATCCACTGATTGCCAACTATAAAGTAAAAAAGAAAGTACTAACATGAATATGACCGAGTTCATTAAAGGCACATTTAATTTTATTGTTTTTCAAAACAAATATACTAAACAGGTGGTTAAGAATAGATTGTATAATGTGTGTGTGTGTGTGTGTGTGTGTGTGTGTGTGTGTGTGTGTGATTTCAGAACTCACCCAGGGTCTATTTTTGCTATCAGAAGAGTCTTTTATTATTAATCTGGATGAATATATATGTATATTTTTAAAGATTTTATTTATTTACTTGATAGAGAGAGACAGATAGTGACAGAGGTAGCGAGAAAGAGCACAAGCAGGGGAAGAGACAAAGTGAGAGGGAGAAGCAGGCTCCCCATGGAGCAGGGAACCCAACATGGGGCTCGATCCCAGGATCCTGAGATCATGACCTGAGCCAAAGGCAGCCGCTTAATGACTGAGCTACACAGGCACCCCTGAATATACATTTTTAAAAAAACATACTGGAGTGCTTTCCATGAATTACCTTTTTCCAAGGCAATCCAAAAATATTTTTAATGATTTGGCGAGTAACTATTGAAGAGTGATGATTAAAGCAGAGCCAGAGTAGATAACCCAAGACTTCAGTGTGACATTTGCATCTATCTTGGTTAACACCCGCTGCAGTTTAAATCAGATGCAAAAATAATGCCCAAACTATTTGTTATATACATACTGTATCATATTCAATTCGGAGCAGCAGTTAAATTTTATAGACTTTGGATAAATAAAAATGTTGGCGATTAAATAACACCCCTTCTACATCAGTAACATTAGGAAATGGAAGAATCCTAACTACATTTGACTTTGGAGAATCTTCCTCAGAGCAAGCGGTACCAGGTTTGTACTTTAAAATGCTGCCCCATCATCACGTGAGGGCCATTCATGTGATAAGAAGAAATGAATTCCATACCAAGCCAACCCATAACCATTATCCTGGCATGAATGTTAGTCACACAATTTTATGGTCTCTCTCCCACATAGTGGTTGTCCTGGATAAGGAAAGTCTTATACTAAGAATAAATGGAGCGGAACCAAACCATCACGAGTTCTAATAGAAAAAGAATATAAATTTTTTTTCTTTAAGAGAATCTGAAGCATACTAGTAGAAACAATGGCAGTTCACGTTCTGCTTACTGAAGTTTCCATGTATTACTGATGCTTTCTATTATTTTGTTGATATTACTCAGTATTTCTATTAAATCTGGATACCTTGGAAAGCAATTCATTCATAGGTTAAATATAGAGATTCCTCCATTTACAGGTAAACTTTCCCTTATATACGTAAATAATATTGTAGCTGTTTGCCAAGAGTTGATGTGTTGATGTACTAGTAAGTACTTCATGTGTAAGAGATACACTTCTAAAAAGTTTCATGTAAATAAGATTTTTGTAAGTCAATTTCTTCCCCATTGTTAATGTTATATTGGAAAGATGCTTCATCTAAAGCATCAGCTTCCCTTTAAATGTTCTCTGATCTAGGAGAAAGAGGTATTTCCTCTTTTAAGCCCATCATACCCATAAAATTCCTGGAAAATATTTCTAACAAAACATCTATTACTTTACAAACATTCATTTAATTCTCCATTTCTCCTACCATTACAGAGGTCTTATACATTTTTGTATCCCCATCCTTGCATAGTGCTAAAAGACACTGAATAAATGAGTGAATTGATGAATGGGTAGTCAGGTGACAGCTATTATTTTAGCTTTTGTTTTTTCTGTATCTGTTTTTCTGCAGCTGGCTCATGATCTAAAATTTCAAGATATAAAGCAGATTTTTAAAGGAATCATGGAGCACATTCTTTGCTAAAGTACATAATTTTTTGCAGTCACTTCCCATAAAAAATCCACATTGAACAATATGATAGCCCAGTGGTTCTCAGTGTGCATAAGGACTGCCTCTGCAAGGGCCTGCGAGAAGTAAAATCTGGAAACCCTCCCCAGAGGTTCTGATTCAGTAGAAATCCATAATTCATAAGTTCCCTAGGGGATATCATTCTTTGAACAACACTGTTGCAGAGCTTTGGTATTTATAGTTTTAAGATTAGTGGCACACTTTCAGGAAATAATACACCATGATAAAGTGAGATGCATTCCAGTGGTGCAAGTCTGCTCAATATGAGGACATCCATTAATATAAAACATGATACTGATCAATCTAGGGAGAAAAATCATATGATTATTATAAAAGATGCTGAAAAGTTTTTGACACAATTCAGCACCCATCCTGGATAAAAACAATGAAGAAAGAAGAAAATGATGAATACTGTCTTAACATGCTTAAAAATATATAATATATACATTATACACGTATAATATGTCTGTGCATGTAGAGTATCTTCAGTACTGTGTAACATTGCCTTGGAGGTATCAGCCAATACATTTAAACAAGAAAAATCACATAAGGAAAACCAGCTCCATTTCCAGATATGATAGTATGCTTGGGGAGTCAATGATAAAACTATCTCAAATGGTAAAAGAATTAAACATGGTAACAGGATATAAATTAACATATAGAAGTCAACAGCCTTCATACATACAACAATAACCATTTAGAGGATAAAATCAGACAAAATGTTGCTTACAATGGCTGCAAAAAACATAAAACATAAACAATAAACTTATCAACAGATGTGCAAAATCTTTATGAAGAAAAAATTAAAATGCTATCAAAAGACACAAGAATAGACTTGAATAAATGAAAAGACATCCCTTGTTCTGGGATAGAACAATTCAACGTCAAAAAGATGCCAACTCTCTCCATGTTAATTTATAAATTTAATCTCAGTAGAAATACCAACATGTTTTTATGGAGTTAGAAAACTTGACAAAGAATGTCTATAAAAAAAAAGCTGGGAAAGAAAAGCACTGAGGGGGCATAGCCCTACTGCATATGAACACACACCATAAAGGCTGTATAATTAGGACAGTGCTGCACCAGCACATAAACAGACAACTAAATCACTGAATGGAATAGAAAGTCAAGAAAGAGACCCAAGCACATACAAAAATTTTGCATATGATAAAAGTGGCATCTCAAATGCCAACGACTTTTGCATAAAGGCCTAGGGCTTTTAGTTTTGTTTTTGTTTTTTTTAGATTTTATTTATTTGACAGAGAGAGACACAGAGAGAGAGAGGGAACACAAGCAGGGGGAGTGGGAGAGGGAGAAGGAGGCTTCCCACTGAGCAGGGAGCCCGATGTGGGGCTCGATCCCAGGACCCCGGGATCATGACCTGAGCCGAAGGATCATGACCTGAGCAGAAGGCAAATGCTTAACGACTGAGCCACCCAGGTGCCCCCAAGGCCTAGGGCTTTTAAATAAAAGGTGCTAGTATCATTGCATATTAGGAAAAGAAAAATTACCATGCATACCTCATACCAATCACAAGAATAAATTCCAAACGGACCAGAGATCAAAATGCAAGCATATGAAATGACACAAGTGTTAGAAGAAAACAGAGTGAATTCTTATATATATATAACCCGAGTGTAAGGAAGGCTTTAACTATCTATAGGCAATAAAAGAAAAATATCAATAACTTTGCCTAGATTTTAAAAAAACACGACACAAAACAGCACAAGCAAAAAAAAAAAAGAGAGACAAATGACAAAGTAGGAGAAAGTATTTGCAGTGTACGACACAGATGAAGAGCTTAGAGTCCAAACCTATGAAGAAGTCTCAAAATCTTGATACAAAGAATGGGCAAAAGACATAAATGGACAATTCACATACACGAAAAGATATTTCAATGATATTCTTCCTCACTCATAACAGAAATGCAAAACTACACTGAGAAACCATTTCTTACCTATGATATCAGCAAAAAAATAACACATTCTGTCAGTGAGACTGGGTTAAAGCAAGCTCTCTCATACATTGGTGGTGAGAAACAAATTGGTACAAATTTTTTTGGGGGGGGAGTCTGGCAATATCTATGTATCTATCTATTACGAAAGAATGATAAAGCAAAGAAGATAAAAGGTTAACATTTGGGAAATCAGGATGAAGGTGTATGGCTGTTCTAGAATTCCTTCTGTAAGTCTGAAATTATTATTATTTTTTTAAGATTTATTTATTTATTTGAGAGAGAGAGAGAGAGAGAGAGAGCAAACACAAGTGCCGGGGAGGGCAGAGGGAGACAATGTTAAGCAGACTCCCTGATGAGTGCAGAGCCCAACTCGGGGGGCTCGATCCCACAACCCTGAGATCATGACATGAACAGAAATCAAGAGCCAGATACTTAAGTGACTGAGCCACTCAGGTACCCCAAGTCTGAAATTATTTTAAAATAATTTTTAAAAAGATTAGTGATGCTGACTAGCTTAGCAGCCTGAAGGTTTAAGACATGTAATAATATGTAATTTTCTAAGGCACCGATTTGTGCCATTCCCTAGCAAGGCTGGAGAATATCGACAACATATCAATTAGCTGGATAGCTTCACAGCCCACCATCTATACCTACTTCCCATCCATCCTTGCCTTTGAAATAACTCCTATGAAGTGATAAAAAACAAACAAACAAACAAAAAACCATTTTGTTTCTTTGTGAAAAATGCCCTTCACAGAAGAAGAAAGCTAAAGGTTAGTACCAATAACAGAACCCAAAAGGAAAGGGTCCTTCTGGGTCCTAGCCAGAAAGCGGACATTTTGGATTAAAGCATAGCCTGTCGAGGGCAGTGGGGGTACCCATCCAAAATGTAAATGATTCCACCAGAAAAGAAGAAAAAGCAACCTGAGAAGCTATTTCGGCCAGTACTGTATTCCGTGAAGAAAACTGGCTAAACAGCTAATAGATAGAAAGGTGGAGATGTGAACTTGAGGTGTGAGGATATACTGAGCAAACAGGTGCCTTCTGAAGAAAGTACGAGAGTACCAGGAGCATGCAGAGGAGTGATAAAGAGCCATTACTGGAAAAGCATCAGGTGGTTTCCAAATATTAGGTGTGTATCGGCCCCTAGGACATATCTGTTAAGAACAC